TGTCTTTCTCAGTAGACAGTGCCACACAAAATCATTTTGAAAAATAAACTATAAAAAAAAAACAAATATATTTGTAGGCATAATAATAATAATAATAACAACAACAACAACAACAACAATGTAGGTGGCGACCGTGACAAAAAAATATAACGCACGGGTGTCGCACCTCGCGTGTTCCGATACATAACGTGCAACGCGGATATAATATACATAAATAATACATATTATTATTATTATTATTATTGTTATTATTATTATGTATCGCGTACGCCGCCGCGGATAAATAACAACGTATAGCACGCGGAGCGTAGGTGTACATAATAATGCGTGTAGGGACGAGCGGATTTTAATATAATAGGTAAACACGCCGCCGCCGCCGTCGTAACCGTACGTCAAACTGTGTAACGACAATAATAATAATGATAATGATAATGATAATGATTATGATTATGATATTATCATTATTATTATTATTATTGGTATATTTATATCGTGTACGCCGATACGATAAATAAACTTTGGCGCGACTATAGCGGGTAATAGACGGGTAAGTGTACGCGTGCATACGAGAACGGGCACGTCGTTTTGCGGAAGGGTAATTTTTTTTTTTTTTTATTCGAATTTTAGCGGGTCGCGAACGTTCGAAAATCTCCCCGACGGAAATTCAGTGGCGCGATTGCGGCGCGGACGCGATGCGGGACATATACCCCGCGGGGGCCGTTTTCAGATTCTGAGCGGACCGAGGAATCCGTATTGGTCTTGCGACGAGTGAAATGTCGGAAACGCGTAAAACGTCATAATCAGCAACGAATGACATGACCCCGTGTTTAATGAAAGCTCCAGTCTGAAATATAAAATGTGTTATATTTACCTTGAATTGTTATCAGTGTTATGCAAATCGATATTTTCAGAAAAATACGTTGAGTCTATTGCTGTTTGCAAATCGAAAGTTGATAGTTATTGGTTTATGATGCTATACGGAATAAGGGTAAAATTTCGTAGGTATTTTAATAATATCATTATCATAACTATAGTAGTATGGATCAGTTCGAGTAACTGGGGATGATTCTAACAGGAATCAATGACATGACAAAGGAAACAGAAGCGAGAAACCGGGCTGGAAATAAATGATTTTACGGTCTAGTGAAGCTGTTGGGACCCCGATCCCTGTCAAGGGATTTAATAAAACAACTGTAATATACTACCTTGATAAGACCAACTGTTACAGAGACTTGGTCAATCTGAAAAACCGACGAGAACAGACTTCTCGTTTTTGAAGGGAAAATCCTGAAAAGAATTTTCGGACCTGTGAAGTATAATGCAACCGATGACTGGAGGACAAAATAGAACGGTTAATTAGAATCACTCTGTCGAAACCCGAACATCTTTGAATCAATCAGGAGTAAGAAGCTACAACGGGCTTGGAGAATCTTAAACCTATTGCTCCGTAAAGTATTGGAGAGTAACCCGACAGGAAAAAAACCCATTGGAATACAGAGAACGAGTTGAGATGACGTAGTGAAGAATTATGTAAAAGGAGGAACAGATTAGAAACCCGAGTAACTGACCGGAATCGATTGAAGGTTGGATGTACGGGGGAGGGGGGACGTTTATACTCTCAGTATCCTCCTCCTATAAAAAAAAAAAAAAAAAAAACAAAATAATATAATTAAACTATTCTGTAATAACAGGAAAGAAATGTTTATGTTCACAATTTATTTGGAAACCGCATAAATGTATTTTCTAATGTGAAATAATAAAGATAATCATATTATATTCTTGTAATGTTCCACTTAAAAAGTCCACATTATTGCGAGAACTTTGCTGTAATAACAAAAATATACATATTTATAAGTTATAGTTATCCGGTTTAGCGAAAAAATATATATTAAAGAATTATTTTTCATCTCATATTTTTTTTTTTTTTTTATTTGTTCATGCCCCGTGGAAACATCTGTAGACTCCAGGATGAGACATTACTCTAAGCTAGATCTTAAGAAGTTTAAGTTTTTCTAAAGTACGCACCAGTTATAATGGCTAAATATGTAATATAATATTATGATATACTTACCTATTTTATTTTTATTCACGCAAAATGAAAATTATTCATATTACATTGTAACATACTAATATATATATATATATATATACATAAAAAAAAAAAAAAAACAATAACGCTAATTCTTAAATACGTAATGTGTATTAATTGAACCCTTTTTATTCATATTTAATTCGGTAATCGATTAATGAGTTTTCGAAATATCCGTTTCTACTCGAACGAGCTATTGATTAAACCATTACGTAGTTGCGTTATAATATTGTTATTCGAAAGCAAATTAAAAACCGTATCGCTTTTAAGTTTCTTAAACACAACAAATATATTATATTGACGGTACAGGTACAGTTCAATTGAATTAATACAGGTTTAACATCGTAATCGGGTCCACCGGTTTTTTAAACAATTTATTTATGCTCGTCGAAAATATTGTTACCCCGTTAAATATTAAATCGTAATAATATGGAATTATATGTAATCACCTAGAATTAACCTCGGTACAATTTGTAATCGGTTTTGATTGGCGGAATTGGAATATTTTAAATAAAATTAGTTAAAGTTTTAGTTCATACATGAACCTAATCAAAACTGAGCAAGTTATTCGAATGTGTAACGATTCGTTAAAGAAAAGTTAGTTATTATAAAAAACCTATACAATTACAGATTGATTGTTTTTTGTTTCTTTTTAAATTTAAAACTTAAAATCATAACTTGAGTTGAAGAAAAACTTAATTTAGTTTTTCTTTTTTTATGTTACTTACATAAAAAGTACAGCTGTTCAGTTAAAAACAAAACTTAATAATTATTTAATCAAATTTTAAAAACGGCTACCTAAAATTGATTTCTTATAAACACTTTTTTTCTGTAGCAATATAATTAAGTAATAAAAAAAAAATAGTAAAAACTAAATATTAAAGGTAATTTACAAATCCGTCAGTATTATTTACGGACTTTCACTATGTGAAAAAAAATTTATAAAAGTTACTTTTTTTTTTTTTAACGCGTTAGATTAGAATATTGTATACATCTATAACACGCAATTCATTAAGCGAGCAAGATATCCAATATTTAATCTAATACATAAAATTTAAATTAAGTAGCAAAATTTACTTTTCTACCTTCTAAAAATTGGCCACTGCCTAACTTTGGACCTTTAGTAAAATCCGTGTATATTAAACCACGATAATTGCAATAATTATTTAAACCAATTTGAGCTTTGGCCAAATCAATAATTGTTTTGAGCAAACATAAAAATATTATCATAGTATAATATGTATTCCCCGATAAAATCGCGCCTGGATAATATATATTTCCGGATAAAATCCCACTTGGACAAAATTCCGCCCCAACAAAATCCCGTCGCCAAAATCTCGTTGGACATAACCCCGCTATCATAATCTTGTCGTACAAAATCCCGCCGAAATAAACAAACGGGATAAATAAAATGCAACAGATTTTTCTAGACAAAATTTCTTTACGCTTTACATGGCTTAAAACTGACTGATAGTGTATTCCATGGTGAGAATTTTTTCGGAGCGAGATTTTGTCAGGGCGCCATTTTTATATGCGTAGTGTAATTAAACTTTTTTTTTTCTAAAATCTATACATTTTCCAGTTCAAAAAAAAAAAAAAAACAAAAAGTAAGTTTCTATCTTTATGTTTAAACAATATTAATTATTGCATATAAATATTAAAAATCTAATGACATCGTTTTACAATCGTCTTTAATAATAAAATAAATTTGGTGTCTCTAAAAAAAGCTTTATAATTTACAATACCGTAAAGCTTTTGAATATATTATGATTATTTATTAGTTGACAATGAAATTGGACACCGTTATAGTTACCGATAAAATATAGCTGCTATCCCCCAGATAAATTAATAACTTAAAACATGGGAATTAATGTTATTTTACTGGCGGATATCGAAGTGAAAAAAGTCGGTTTGAATTGATATTGAATCGCGTTGAAATATGAATTTTACTGCGTTGTTACGAGAGTAGGGTGTTTTTTTTTTTTTTAATTTCGAGCAACTCTGCGGACCACCCACAAATCCAGAAGGATGGAATTTCGTAAACGGATTACGTTATAGCGTCAAGAATGTGCCTTTTGAGGGTTTTAACTTTCAATTCCCATCCTCCTTCCATTTTTATGCTAATTTCACTGTTTGTTCGGAAGTAATATATTATAATATATACAGTATATATGGTATTCGGTTATTCATTGTTTACAACGAATATTTATACAGAATAGAAAATAGGCGGGGTAAATTTGACTTAAAACGATATAGTGACGGAGTTCTGCAGCTCACGAGTGTTTTTTGTTTTTCCCTACGGCAATAACTATGATTTTTATGTTACTAACAGAGGGGCTCGGGATACTATTATGTGCGCGATTCGTGCGCATTATAATCAAAAATAAAACTTAGCGACAATATTAGAAATTTTCGAAAAAACCAAACAGTTTAATTTATTTCGGTACGCATGTTAGGTGCTATACGAACAAATCGAAAACTATCGGCACATGGAAAACGGATGCCAATCGACCTCGGGAGTTGCGGGTGATTGTCGTTAAATATTCGTGATCCCTACTATAACCGATATATTATTATTATTACCTACTCCTAACGATAAATCGCGTTCGGCGTATCCGCGTACATAATGTTAAAATATAAAACGTACGATATTATGGGTTACGGCGCGACCAGCATCTGGAACGCGGACGACAATATCACGTTTCCCTTTAGAACATCAAACGTGATAATAACATTACCCTTTTTATATTACGTTATAATGAAATGCGAAAAGTTGTTTTTTTTTTTTTTTCGGCCGTTCCGCCCGTGCCCTTTTTACCGTGTCGTCTCGCGACCCGCGAGATTTGCGCTCGGGACGCGAGACAAATTATACGCACGCATTCCTGGCGTGTAACGTAATAAAACTGCCGCCGTTATAGCCAGCAGCTGTACGTTTAAAATATTCAATTACGTAAATATTCGAATGAAATTTGCGAACGGTGTATCGCAAGAACGAAATCCGTTTGAAAAAAATAATCAAAAAACACGCGGGACGATCGGCTCGGCTTCTGAACAACGCGAATATCTCGTGCCGTAATATTCCGTGACGGGTATTACCTACTGCATTAGGGCTCGGACTTGACGGGGAAAGGGGGGGGGGTGGCATTAAGGACATAAGGCTCGAGCCCCCAATTTGTTAGACGGCCCCGGGCAAAAAAAAATTCAATTCGGATTTCCTGTATACACTTAAGAAAAAAAAAATAGGTTTGAAAAAAAGCGTTTTACGACGTTTCAGTTGTACACGAGTCGTAATTATTATTGCATTATCTATTACACGATAAGTTTGAGTAGTCAATTTTTACGACCACTTAGAGACCACGAAATCTTCTTTGCCATGGTCTCCTTAAAGTTTAAATCCAGTCCTGCACTATACCCGCGTATCGTCCGTCAGGTTGCACGCCGAGCAGAACCCCTGAACGCCTTATTATTTTACTACCGTTAACTCTATGAATCGAATTATCAATACGCCGAATGCGTGCGAAGAGAAAAAAATAATTTGGCTTTTTTTAATTTTTTTTTTTTTTTTTTGCGGCATATTTTACGACTCGCGATCTCGCACCAGATTCTCGTTATTGTAATGTTATTTCACCCCGACCCCGGGACTGCGAAACGGTAGCGGCATAGCTGGGATTTTTTTCCTCCCCTGCGGGGCGGTCGGTGAAGCTGCAGCCTGACTGGTTTAACCGACCATCGATTTCAGATTCAGAATAATTATCCTCGCACCAAGACCTCTGGCGCATATTATGCGTACCGAGCTACGTCGAAAAACCTCGCGAAACGATTTATTATAAATACTCTCGGTTATGTTCCGGATAAAACGGCGGAATAAAATAGTTTTTTCTTGATGCACAGCAGTTAGACGGGTAACCGAAACACTCCGATGAATACGATAACACCGGAACTATATGTCAACAAAATATTTTTGTCACGGAACACCGCGGATTGCATCACGGTTTTTATGAAAACATTTTGTTTTCGCCGTAAGTATAGTGCTATACTGATAACTATATAGGTGTAATGGAAATGGCGCATATTGAATATTCAGTGAAATTTCCAAAGGTCTGTACCGTCCTCCCGCAGGACTAAAACATGCCCCCTTGAATACGCCGCCGTGCCGCGAGACGCCACATTTACACGGCGAGAACGATCCCCGTCACGAGGGATAAAACTGACGATTGTCTCGGGATATTATCCGTATAGCGTGAAATTCAAACGGGACGGTATAGTAGTTATGTTATTGTGTACATAATTAATGGAAGAGCATCCGCCGCCGATCTGCGGAGGAGAGGGCGAAAAGTAAATTACCTACAAAGCATTAGCCGCCGCAGGAGGATGGCGGTGTTGGCCTCGGGAAAGTGGCGAGGAAAAAGTAACCTCGTTAAGATGAGCGCGAGACGTGAAAAAAAGTTAGTTAAAAAAAAAAAAAAAAAAAGGCAAGCGAAAAACCCGTAGATATAATTTATTATTATTATTATTATTATAAACCTAACCTCGGGTGTCAATTAGTGAGTGTCGTCGTAGTCTCCCTCGTTATCATTATTGTATAATGCGTTTTAAGCCAGCGACCCCGGAGGCGCGAGCGTTCGCGTGTAACAACTGCCGCGGTCGCGGAGAAGAAAAATAATATCCAGATTAGAATTTTTTTTTTTTTTGTTTTTCTTATCGATAATTTTTCAATTATTTTATTTTTTGGTTTTTTTTTTTTTTTTTAAATGACAATCTATATTATTGTTATTATTACCTGGGTATACTCGGCGTGACACAGAGTCGCGTGCGTGCGAGTTTTAAATGCGGATAATAACCCCGGTCGGATGAACGACCGAGTTGAGCGATACGGACGTCCGGTGGGAGCGCGTCGACGACGATATAGTTGTACGCGAAAAAAAAAAAAAAAAAAAAAACCCGCGAGGACCCGCTGCGGCCGTGGCTTCGGCGACGGTAACGTTGGCGGCGTTGGCGGACGGACGGACGGACACGACACACGAGGCGCGCACCACGGTATCTCACGGCGCTGGACGCCGGACGACTGAAATCCGTCGTCTGCGTGCGTCGGCAAAGGCTCTGCCGAGAAAACGGCCACCGCGCCGCCAGCTCCCCGTAGTCGTCGCCGGCGCGGCGAGATTCTGCGGCGGAGGGACGCAAGCGCGACGACACGCACCCCCCGCCAAAAGTCCCGTCCGCGCCGTCCTCGGCGGGCCGTGACCACGAACTCCTACGATATTCTTCACCGTCCGCCGCGCGCGTCTCTCTCACTTTTTCCCGTCGCTCCGTCATTAACTTTCTCTCCCTCGGTCGAGGTATATCCCCGACTGCGGAATCGTCTCGAAAGGGGTTCTGTTGGAGGGGGGGCATCTTTCCCCGACCCCCGAAGAAAACATCGGCCCCGACGTGTTGGACTTCTCGTTTCGGTATAATCGCGAAACACTTCGTTATACCCGTTAACCCGACAAAATTATGTGACACCGGGGCCGGATAAAAGCCAAGTACAGTCCCCTAAACAGGGTCGTATGTTTACGGTATAATTATAATGTAAACTACTGATAATACAACAATAATTATTATTATTATTATTAGTGAACGGGGCCGTTTATAATATGGAATTCACGCCCGGCCAGCAGATGGCGCCGAATCCATACAATTATTATTACACGCATATAGTCGGCACATTATATTATATCTACCGACTATAGTTTTTGTACGATCGTCTAGGAAAAATGCTCACTTTATCAACAACGTTTTTTTTTTCTGTGGCGTTAGAAGGATAAAAGTAAACGAACACGATAACACGAACAAATTATTTTTATTTAATACATTTTAACATTAATGTTTAAAACATATATTACTAGTATTTTGTAAGTCAACGTCATATTTTCCCTTATCGTCTAAATCAATGATTATATTCGACATAGTTTTCGTTTTAAATCCTTAATAATATTATAAAATGATCAAACGTTCGACCTCTCATCCGAAACAGTGGATCGAATTGGTCAGTCATATTTTCGGGTGGAATAATGTGGAACCATGTAACATTACGATTAGAATTTAACGTAATCTATCTAATCTATAGTAACCATGTCCATAATATGCTACCTGTGACTTATAGGCCATACAATTATTTAAAGGCGATATGCCAACGACACCGTAAGTTCATAGGTATAAAAGATATATAATGTGCGAATAACATTGAAAAATCAACTGATACGTTGTAATCTTTAAAAAAGGGAAAAGATGAATTTAACGGCTAAATGTCTTCGATGATTAATGCACTACCTATATTACAAAGGCCAATCGGATAATATGGTTAGAGAATTTGAAATTGAGATTGTGAACTTGTCTCTACGTTACTATTCTATCATTTTAAAATTAAATTTAACTACTCAGTTATTGTGCTATTTATTATTTAATAATGTCGTATTCAATAAAAAAATTAACAAAAACAGACCGATTACAATCTGGAACCGACAAAAAGACACAGAACACGATATTATACACAATATTCAAAGGCAAAATTATTTAATTAATTATTCGAATACGAAATTCTTCTTTATTCATTTATTTTTCAATTGATTATTCTTATGTATTTTCGTTCGTTATTTCAATTTTTAACGATTAGTCGTTATTCATTATTCCAATTAATCATGTTTAATTCACATATTTCTGAAACAACTCGAAGTCCCATCTTTATTGAAACTGGTGTGCTCTGTATTTATAACATAATATTATTATATATCACTAGTGTTATTGTCATCCATTATGGTTTAGCCATCGGCTTAACCCTAGCTATGGACTTGTAATTTGCTCACATAGTTACAGGAATTCAGTGAAATTGTTGTTAATTATTATAAAGTCTGATGTACAAAACTTGACTGCAACAAAAATATACTGACATACCAAATTATTCGCAATTTATTGAATTAATTATTCTTAAGTAAAATTGTAAATGTGAAACTAAGGCGGTCTGTTACGTTTTCACGTCTAAACCGCTGAACCAATTTCAATGAATTTCGGTACAGAGATCGATGAGACCTTGGTGAAAAACATAGACTACTTATTGTTAGGATAAAATAGGGATAATAGGTTTTTAGGTATTTTTGGTACGGAAGTTAAATTAGTTTTGTTGAATTATGGATTTCCTCAGTAACACGGATGAAATGAAAAATATTTAAAACAAAAACATAAATAATAAACAGTAATGAAAATGCGTCTTAGGAATAAATAGTCTATCTGATTGACAGCCGGTCTATTATTTGCTTGAAAGAGGATGGGCTACCTTGGTAACATGGATGAAAAAGTTTGTGGGAGAAGGGTGATAAGTGATAAGTGAATACAAGTAAAACGTTATCTTTGAATCTTTGTATTTTTTGGTACAGTAACAACACTGCAGTACTATTGTGTCTTCCAAATGTTAACGTTATTATTGTGGATAATGTATAGTTTAATTATTGTGCTTTGTGGGTATCTATGGCTACGCGGATGAAAATAGTACGAAAAACTAAAAGACGTTTTTTTGTTTAATATACAGACAAAGCAAAACAGGGAAAAAGTAAAAAGAATAACAAATTGTCAAGGACAACTCCGGGCGCGGGACAGCTAGTTCAGAAGAATTGGTTTATTTACAAATAAAATTATTGAAAATAGTATTCTTCATTCGTTAAATAATCAATTATTCTTTCTTTTATTTTTTTATATTAATTTCTTTGATTTGATTTTGCCCAACTCTGGGACCACGTGCGACGTTGGAATAAATCCTTTATACAGTTGTAGCGATTCGAATCTCACGATACAAATTTATAATATTATTAATTATACTACATTTTAAATATTCATAATTTCCGGATGCTTTTATACATAATATCCTTTTCAGATACCGTTGCAGATTATATAGTTAGTTGAAAGCGGACGAACAAGATTGAAGACCTCGGAGCAACAATGAGATATTTTCGATGTATACGATTGTTCTAAAGGAACAAAAAAAAAACCTTAAAAAATAAAATCAAAAATTCTTTTTCAATATATTTAAACAAAAAATGTATTCTGATACAACTCCTACTTGTATCACCAATCCCTTGGTGAT